GATCTTTTTCGAGTGCTATACATGTTCTCTTTAGGGTTTTCGTCCCAGTCCCTGGGTACCACCTCTATTAAGAGGCCATAGAGCTGTAGGCACGGCTCCAATCTATGGCTGATCAGATCCATAGTCTTCTGTACCTTGCACCCTGATGATTTACCCTGTAGCACCTTTGGACATCTCTGCGCCTAAGTTCTGCACATCTTTACACCTACGTTCTGCACATCTTTACACCTACGTTCTGCACATCTTTACACCTACGTTCTGCACATCTTTACATCTACGTTCTGCACTCTGGACATCTTAACGCTGCACCCTGGACACAACTACCCTGCATTTAGGACTGTGCACCTGTAGTTCTGCATCCTGCTGGTGAGTTCGTTCCATTATTTCTGTACTGGATAACTGCCACCAGCCTAGTAACAAGTTTATTTAGTCCTGAGGGGTTAATATCATATAAGCTTTGACCTATTCATAGTTTAATTCCATATTTTATCTTTGTATGATTTTCACACCTGGAAACCAATGGGGAATGCGGTAATTACCACCTAGATTTCACACATGAATTTTATATAATTTTAGGCTGCTTTGGAGAGTTGATTTCAACCAGTCATTTTTATGTACCTTGAGTCAAACTTACTGACATCTACTGAACCAGAGAGTTGATTTTGGTCAGTCTATATGTCTCTATGTATGTTTGCCATATTATTTTGTTAAAATCACATACAAGAGTATGGTATTCCTTTGTAGAATATTAAAGGTGATATTTGGTAGAAAAATATAGTTATTTTCTTTACTGTGCCCAACGTACCCACCCCAGTGTCCTGCTGAGCTACCAGTGTCTAATTCCTACTGTATAGAATAAGGCACTAAAAATAAAAATTTTGTAGCATAAACTTATGAAATTCAAATTACCTAGTGAATTTCAGGCAGAAAAACAGCCATCTCAGGGGTAAAACCTCAACTCAGTTCAATAATCCATCCCCCTGAGTTTTGTGAGTTATAGAAGTGTTTGCAAGAATGTTTCAATCTGCTTCATTAGGATCTTGTGACGTCAAAGTGATTTTAGTGTATTCACGTCAGATCGTCATAATAGTCACATCCAAATGTTATAAGTTGGCAATAGAATAGTTGGTTTTTCGAAGAAAAAATCAAGCGAATCTAGACAATTACAATAAATGAAAAATTCGACCTGTATACATCAGGAACAATGTATATCGTCTATCACATTGTATCATTGCAGAAGGTAACCAATTCGAACATTTATTGTAACGGTTTCCGTTGTAAAAATAAAATAATTAATACTTTTTTCTCACCCTCTATTACTTCATTTTGCTAATATCAGTATATGGTTGGATAGACAATGAATATACCTCCCTGAAAAAAAGGGATGTTTCAATTTAAAAAAATAATCGATCAAGTCACCAAAACTACGCGGATGACGTTACAAACTCCGTATGTACATACATCAAGATGTGTCAATTTGAAAAAAAAATCGACCTGTCTCAGGATTTTTTTTCAAATTCATATGCGTTAGAGATAATGAATTTCTTCTATACATTTCCACCATACTGTATAGAGATAAAATCGACTTCTATCAGGCCAGACAAGAAAAATCAGGATCTGTTAATAAATGAATCCACAATCTATCAATGAATTGCGAATTTGGAAGCTTTTTATCATCATCATTAATAAACAAATTCATATGTGGTATGAAGCCTGGTAAAATCAGAGACCGTCTATGTGAAGATGAACCCAGTACGAAGATGGACAAACTACTGGAGCTAGCATCGAACAAGGGAGCTTCAATGATGTTAGAAATAAAGGAAGTGAACTTTATCCATTGGAAGCAGGGTAAAAACAAGTACACTATAATTGATATCAAGAGCGGGGTAACACAATTGGTAAATGGGAATACAAAGCTTGTGGACGAGTCCACACAGGGAAGCAACTTTGCAAATATGTCACCTATACATGTTATACTTGTGAAAAATAGGACAGAATGTATTAGACATTGATGGAAATGTGCTAGGAATAAAATATATTTATTTTAGCAATGATAATCCAATATCCTTAAATATTTCTGTGAACCATGTAAAATTATCCTGTCAAGTTGATTCAGGGGCAGTCATATCTGTATTGAAATTCTATACATATAAAACATGTTTGAATAACGGAGATTTACTAGATTCAAACTTGACTTTGAGAAGTTATTCAGCTTGTAAAATGAGACCAGTAGGATGCATCAATATAGATGCAGAGTATAGTTCTTTATAAGATTTAAGGAACTGACCTGACCTGAGATGGGATAATGACATGCGATAAAGCAATAAAAGTATTAGCCGTGACAGGATCGTATTTATTTTGTTGTTGGCTCGACACATTCTGGAATACTTTTAGTTCTGCAGTGATAGTGTGTTTGTGTTTGGAGATGTGAAGGGAAACGCTATTTGATTTGAATAAACTATGTAATGCCAAGAGCGAACAAAAAGAACACTTATAAAAAACAACGTGAGCCGACAAGACGACTTACTTTGTGATACTGCTGATCTTCTTGTGAAGGGCCCTTCTAGCGATCCAAATTTTCCTTGAAGCAGCAGCGGGTTGAACGGGTTAAGCAGGCGAAGCGGGCAAAGCGAAGGGTTGACTCCATGGAGTATCACTCATAAATATACAGCAAGCGATATAAACTTGGCGAGAAGCATGGCGGTACCACTGGTTCGATCGCATCGGTGATCGAAAAACTCTCTCAAGGAGGCGCATAGTCTTGAGTTGCCTTGAGGCTCGGTTTCTTTGCGGTGAATATAAACTACTTTGGAAATGAATATTCATTTTCTGATAGTGACATTGCTGTTCCGCAAAATTTACTCCCCGGCGAGAAGGCATTTGAAAAAAATTATTCTGATACAGTACCACAGCACAAACATATAGAGCACAATGGGTAGAAAAGAAGGTTAATTATTGTCACCGTCGGGCCGTGGACACAGCTTGACCGACAAACTCTCAAGTTTCCCGTTGCAGTTATCACCGTTACCACTCTGGAATTCATTGCCTGTGGAAGTATTCCCAACAACATATAATCTCCAAAAGTTCAAAAAAAATTCCAATACCTACCTCCTGTCTCTATCCTCCCTAGGAACGCACGATGTTCTTTGAACATTATAGGGATTCCCTTTCGTGCGCTCCAAGCGATAAAAAAAAAACTATTCGTCTCAGTCCACTTAAGGGGAGGAACATTATCAGTTTTGATAATAATAAGTGATCCGATCTACGGGTCCAACCACTTGCCTCGCTGTCGCAACGTGTGCAAATACTCTTGGTGCCATCGGTGCCAAAAATCTTGGTGGAGACGTTGCATCATTTGCCTACGTGATAAATAGTTGGGGGAATCGACGTGAAATCTGGCAATGACAAAGCGGAGAACGGCTCCAAAGACAAGAAATGACCGGGCGTAAGGGCGGTCATATCTTCGACGTCTGCACTCATGGCGGTGAGTGGCCTCGAATTTAAAATTAATTCTATCAAAGTTCAGACTGCATGAAATTCATCATATGTTAGAATTTGCTGGCCAACGTCACGTGATAAATGTGTCTTGACGGATTTGACTAAAGCTTCGCATAAACTATTGAAGTGTGGAGCGCTGGCGGCGGTTGGGTGGAAAGTAATTTTCTCATGAACCGCGGGAATATTTTGAGACAATTGTATTTTTATTGCTGATTAGGAAAATAACCAAAACTCAATTGAGAAGTTATGAATTCTTGAATAACTAAAATTTCTGAAGTTCCCAATCGTATTTCAACACATGGCAACTGTGCTATGGTCTGCCCCTACTTATGGAATCTTGGCGACAGTTTGAAAATTACTGCGGCATTATTGACGATTTTAGCAACTAAAAATCGACCGAAAAATTCTTGAAAGATATGAAATTGAAGGGTAATTAAGTGATGATTCTATTTGAGAAACAAAAAAAATATTAGTCCACTCGCCTATTCATAGCGACAATGGTACCAACTTTCATGGAGCGAATAATCATTTAGTCAATTTTATGAAGTCAGCAGCTGGAGCTGAATATATTGAGTGAAAATTCAACCCTCCAAGCGCGCCTCATCTAGGAGGAAGCTGGCATCAAAGGTCCGTGAAGGTACACTTTTATACAATATAAAAAATATTGACCTTATTCCCTTCAATGATGATGAGGGCAGCCTTCTGGCACGTTTACCCAGAGCAGGTAGCACAAAACACAACATTTGAGCCCTGCTTCCAGGAGCTCTGAGGGGGCTAGGTCTTGCGACTGGTAATGGGGATGAGTCCCGCCGTCGAAACTTGTCGAAAATTATAAGACTGAGAATGTATGTATGTAGAACGATTCGTATAATCTTATATTATTCTTAGATATCGTATTCGATGTAATAATTCGTTAAATTTTAGATACAATCCATTCATTCACCGTTTGGTTTTGCTCAGCAACCAGTTGAACTTGTCAATGAAATGGATGTTGTGAATAACAAATAATTTTCAGGGTCGAATATCTCGAAAATTGTTAATTTTAGCTCAGTTGAAGGTGATGCATTTTCTGAACAGAGCAGACAAGTTTCTACAACCCCCTGTATTGTACCACTGGATGAAATTTCCGCAATGACTTTGGTCAAAAAATTACCCATTGGAAGATGTAACCATATACCGAATTTGAATGCAAAATATTCACTCATGAAATCACGAGCGCTGTATTATCATGTCTCATACAATACTCTATTTTATTATTCCAATTTAGAAAAAAAAAATCTATGCATTCGTTCGACTCGTAGATATTTCATTTATTATTCCATATATTGTCAAATATCTGATTCTTGATTGAATCGAAATAAAAAGTGTTTATTTTTTTTCTCAACAGACTTGTAATTATTGTAGTAATAATACTGATAATAGTATTTATTTTTTATTATCATCTGGCAGTAGGTATACACTACCTCTGATTCATGTGTGGAATAAAATTGTTTTTTTTTCAGGAGTACCTCATGACGAATAGACCTGATTTCATGAATTCCGCTGAATATAGAAGACGCACTGTCGTAACTCATAAGGTGAAAAGGCAGTTGGACAAAGAGAAAATTAAATTAAGGCTTATTGAAAATAATCTACCTGAGAAGGAAGAAATGCGAGGTATGATTATTATCAGTTTGTCGCTTTGATCCTAACAATATTTACTGACATTTATTTCATTATGACGTTTCCGTTTTCATCTCATCACTGTCGAATTTGTTTAGATCGAAAGTTTATTACGACTATATACCCTAGGTAATATCCTCCCTGCGTAGTTTATTATAAGGTATATTTCAGTTATTGTATATTCAATCAATCTTCAAATCTTGACTCTTACTATTTCAAATATTCAATCAATTCCAAATCTCCAGTTCTTCTAGACAATAAAATGAAATTAAATTCGAAAGAATTTAAATATTTATGACATTCAAGATAGAAAATAGGCGCACTTCACCTAGCGGCGTTTTTGAAAGATACCAAAGCGGTCTATTTACTCCGTTTTCATTGGATCGAATTTGTTTTTTGTTTGTGCTTCCATCGTAACAAACCGCACGAAAGTGTTCAAGATGTTGCCGTCAGGTGGGGCGACTTGTTATTTCCGATCGCGAATAATGATAGTGTAACATATTTTTCTTACTCTCGCAATATGATACGCGGATTAAATATCTGCTACCGATCTATCAATTTTATTTATTTATTGATTGATTTAGGTTTACGCCACCCTTACAGCTGATAAGCAGGGTGGGGAAAATACAGTGAGCACAAATTACAATACAATGATAAAAATAGTACAAAAAAGAAAACAAGAAAAATTGGCTAGAGATATTATTCAAATGGTCATTATAGCCTGGAGACCAAATAATGGAGGCGTATTCAAGTTTAGTTCTCATAAACGAAACACTATCGGAAGTATGTTCAACGGATGTTAATTTAGTGTCTAATTTGACTCCTAAGTCAGTGAAGTTGGTGCGCCTCTCAAGCTTGGTGCCATCAATCTCGTAATCAAAAATAACTGGATGTTTCTTGCGCGTGAAAAATACAATGTTGCATTTTCCTATGTTCAAAGGAAGTAGATTGAACTTGCACCAATTATGAAGAATTCTCAGATCTTCTTGCAGTTTCAAGCTGTCAGTTGGGTTTTCGATTTGTCCATATAATTTACAATCATCCGCGTATAGTGAAAGATTACAATTCAGTTTGAGTCCGATGTCGTTTACAAATATTATAAATAACAAGGGGCCCAAAACAGAGCCTTGCGGGACACCGGAAGTTGCAGTTATTTCTGTTGATCGGTGACCATGGTATACCACTCTAAAAGAACTTGAAGAGATCGCGAGTAAGACCAAAACTGGTGGGGTTTTTGAGGAGAATACCTTGATCGAGCCGATCAAACGCCTTCGAAAAATCAGTGTAAACGACATCAACCTCGACATCAACCTGTCCTGAATCATCCAGATTATCGGAAATGGATTATGTGATCTCGAGCAAGATAGTGACTGTTGATCTGCCTGGTATAAAGCTATGCTGATAAGGCACTATTTGTGAATTAACATGCGCTGATAAAAACTCAGAGATAACCATCTCAAAAATTCTGCTTAAATTACAGAGAATGACGATGGGTATGTAATTTTCAATATGACCTTTGTTACCTTTCTTGAGAAAAGGGCAAATTTTACCATCTTTCCAAATGTCAGGGAATGAGCACGTTGATAACGCAAGATTGAACATTTTTGTAAGCGGCTTAGCGAATATTATGGCGCAATGAATGATGGGATACCATCTTGCCCGGTGGTCATTTTAGGTTTCAGCCGTTTCAGGCATTTACAAGTTCTTCGGAGATATAAAGGGTTGATAGTGTATGTTCATTAGAAACTACATCCATTAAGTTGTTCGAAGGTGTCGAGTTGATGAAAGCTGATCAGAAGAAGTTAGCAAAAGCGTTAATTATCAATTCAGGATCGGATATATCTTGATCTTGGAACTTCATAGAATTAGGAATGCGAGATTCATTTAGTAACATATTTAAATATGGCCAAAATTTGGTTGGGTTGGTTTTTATATTAGCTTCGATATTAGTTGCATAATTATTTCGTGCTGAAGATTTTGTTCATTTTAACAAGGATTTTCATTATGACAGATTGACAGATTTTGACCAATGAAGACACGTACTTCTCATTATAAAACGAATTTTCGGCCTATAGAAACACGTATAGCCGCCAAAAGTAATGATAATGAGGACATTTTCAGAAAAACTCATATTTTATGGTTTTCTTGTCCATCTCTGCCACGTGTTGGGGGCAAGTGGTGCAAGTGTGAAAAATCAAGTGCATTATTGCTAAATGGGTAACGAATTCTTCAAAATCATCCTGTACATTATCGAATGTTAGTTAAATAACTCTCATCGTTATTCAACAAAAATATTATCAAATTGAAAAATTGTAACATTCACGTATATAGAGGGTATCCATTCAGTAGGTACCTACTGCATTCTTTGATCACTACTCAACGTCTGTATTGTCAGAAATACAGATGTTTTGTACAGATGATATAAATAGAATCACGAGAAGGAAATTCGTGAATAAATGCATATATATCTACATATCGTTCCATGAAAATGTATTGAACTATCCAATTTATCGCCCTGTGTTTTATTTATGTGAAATCTCTGTAATATTACATACTCAGAGCCAATGCTGCGTTGCCTAGTTACCATTATTTATACATATTTTTGCCAAAACTTACTTCACTTTTAACTGATATTTTTATTATATGGGTGTCTTGAACGGACTTTCCATCCAACACAATTAGGTGTTACATTATATTTCAGTGTCGAGTTTTCCCAATTTATTTCTTACATAAAATTCAATGTTTCACATATTTTACAATCGAATTCGGGAATATAATCATTATAGCACACTATTTCATAATGCAGTATCACATCAATTCAACGCATTGTATTTCTAAAACGAACCGTATTTTACATGTTCACCTATAGACACTATTCTCCTTGAAATGTGAGAAATTGATGATGAACGGTTCGAACCACCTTACTTTATGATTTTCAACATCGTGCATAACAAAATATTATGCTAGTCCTCATAGTCGCAATATATGTGTGAGAGATAAGGATGTGTATCATGGGATCGTTTTTATTTTTTTCTGACATCATTTAAAGAGATATAGGAAAACAGAAGACAACATTTTTTAAGCTCTACGAAACAGTGTTGAGAGATTTTCCGTACGGCCTTTCGTTTTGGAGAATCCATGTTGAGGTTTTATATTTTCACGGAGTAGCTTGTGGCCTCCACCTTACGTGACGGTAGCGTGATCCTTCTGTTGATGATAAACTTTGTTCACTCTATATATTGATCCTTTATGAAATACGTAACTATGGAGTTTGTATGAATGTATGTTGTTCAGTTGTTGTTAATATTGACTATAGAACTTTATTCTGGTAATCACTTCAGAGTTGTTCCTGAGAATACTACTGAATTTACAAAAGGTTATGGGCCCAGAATTCGTAATTCTAAAAAAATAAGTCACTGTAGATAATTATTCTACTGTGAGCAAGTTCCACATGAAATTTTTGAAAAATAAGCATTGTCAGTGTCATATCGAGTTTCACTTCAAAAGAAGAGAAAAGTGATTGAAAATCAAGATGGACAAACTGAGAAGTCAGCATATTTATAAGTTCGACGGCAGAAATTTTCAGCTTGGGCGGTACCAGGTGGAGATCATATTCAAAACTGAGGGCTTGGTTGATTTGTTGTCTGGAACATTTCAAAAGTCTACACCAGTGATGGGAACGGCAACTGAAGAAGAAGTAGCAGTTTTCAATACGAATTCCAAGGAATGGGAAGAACTCAATTCGAAAGCGATGTTAATAATCTCAACCTCAATGGAATTCGATCAGCTGCAAACAGTTGTGGCGTGTGCAACAGCCTTTGAAATTTGGAATAGATTAAAACGTATTATGAACAGAAGTCTGCAGTGAATAGAGTGATGCTCAAACAACAGTTTCTCAACTTTAAAATGTCTGATACAGATAATATTGCTCAACACATAAGTACAATTGAATCTATGGGCCCAGCTCTTGCTAATGTGTATGAGATAATTTCTGATATCGACAAAAAAGTTTTGGGAAGCCTTCCAGATAAATATGAAGCATCATCACAGCATGGGACTCCTATGAAGAAACTAAACAGACTGTTGATAATCTAACTGCTCGATTACTGAAAGAAGAACTAAGATTGTCTCAAACCGATGAAATGTCTACTGCCGTTGCCGCAGCCAAGATAAACCATAATCAATCTAGAAATAATAAACGCAGTGTCAAGTCTCAGAATTTCCAGAAATCCAAAAGGAAATATTGCTTTTTCTGTCACAAAAAAAGGACATTCCAAAGCAGAATGTTGGCATCGAGCTTCACACAGAGAAACGATTATTGATCCAGGTGGAACAGTCATGCAAACGGAAGATCGCATCATCAAGCATCAAGTGCCGAAATAAAGAATATTAATGCTATGAACTGTGGAGATGTTTGGTTGGCAGATAGCGCTGCTTCAAAACATATGACATCTCATCAAGAATGGTTCTCAAAGTTGATTCCATTTCAGATAGGAGATGATCCATGTATCTACGCTGAAGGAATTGGTATAGTTGAAGTCGATACAATTATAAGAGGTAAACAGAAACACCGTAATCTAGAAGACACCCTATATGTACCCGATTTGAAGAAGAACATTTTCTCAGTGGAAGCAGCTACAAGTAAACACTTTCGAGGTGTTTTCAATAATGAAACAATTGAAGTATACAAGGGTATGGATTTGTTAGCAGTAGGCCTCAAAGAAACAAACCAATGCTACAAAATGATGTTCGAGATCCCTGCCACTCAGCAAGCTAGTACAGCATCAGCAATCACGAATCCGATAATGTTATGGCATGAACGTTCGGGTCATGTGTCAACACACTCAAGGAAATGGCAGATGCAGGTCAAATATTAGGTTTGAAAGTTACAAACCTGGAAAATATCTTCTGTGAATCATGTTAGTACGGCAAACTAACACGAAAACCATTCAAGGAGAAATTACAGAAGAATGTCATGAAACCTGGTCATTATG